AGTGGTAGGGAAATCAGCTCAGAACAGTTAATTAAAATTCTCAAGGTCATACACCTTGTAGCAGAAGAAGGAGTTATGGAACCTGTGTATGTGGGCACTTTTATCATTCTCAAACTCCTTCTCGAAGTTATGCTTCCTAACGTGGACAGACAGGCTTCTTCCAGCTTCTTGGTAGTCAAAAAGATAAAAAAAAAAAAAAGAGGGAGTTTAGTTGTTATGATTAGAATGCTGGAATATTTTTTTTTCTCTCTCCAAGTCTTTCATAAAATACTTCACATTGGACTTTCTGTAGGGAACAACATGCATGTGCTGAATAATATCTCAAGAGACTTCTCAAGAGACTTAAAAAAAAATTACAAACATGGTGGCAGATTCTCATAGAAGTCTTTGACAATAACTGAGGTCATAGTATGAGTTTATCTGGGGCTGAATGAGTGGGTTTGGCTGTGCTGCCTTTTGGCGAAATTCCAATGTCTACTTGTCTTATTTCATACTTAATCCCCATAGCTCCTGCTCTCAACTCAAGACTTGTCTTCCATCCGACATCTTCCTCCTTTCTGACTTTGATGAACAAAGAGAGCCTGAATAACATGTTCTGTATAAAATTGTCTTCCTTGTTGACTTTTTTTTTTTTCCCTATCAGTGTCCTAGAAGGCAGACACCAAGAGAGCTGGGTCCTTTGCCTGGATCCTCTATGGCTGCATTTCTAGTTCCCTGGCAAAAATGTGAACATTTTGTTGAATGAATGAATGAGTGTATGTGTGGGTGATGTGTGAGTTGGGGTGCATGTGTCTCCCATGTCTCAGAGTCATGACATATAGCTAAGAGCTTATTTAGTGTTAAGAATAAGGCTTGATGCCCAGAATCCCTGAGCCCCTGTTTCCTAAATTACATTGGTATGGATCAGGTGTCCAGATGGCAGGACCAGCTGAAGTCCCAGCAGAACCCCCAGAGGCTGTCCAGGAGAAGAGGAGATGGCTTGGGCTGCATGGTACAGACATAGGCCAAGACAGTTTGTCCAAATTTCCATTCACTGTCTCAGGCCTGCTGGTCTCGACAGGCTAAAATGAGAAGCCTCCTACCCAACCTGATGGCTTGCCCCTCTAGGCAGAATTGCAAGAGAATACAAAAATCATGTTGCCCACACATTTCCTCTGAGTCACCATTGTGAAGGAAACAATTTGTTAAAAC